GTGGAATATTTTTTTTCAAAGCCGTAATAAGTAAATCTGACAGGGAGATGATCGGAAGTTAGCTGGTGTGAAACTTGTAGGAAGGGAATTTGTGCAATATTTTTTGTGATAACAATATCAAGAACTTCAGCGCTGCCAGTATGGCTGTATCTGGTGGGATCCGTTGGTCCAAAGATACTTAAATCATTTGTAAGGGCATAATTATGAAGGAAGTTCCCGTTTGCATTTGCACGTCGAGAGTTCCAGGAGTGATGCTTCGCGTTTAAGTCTCCGGCTAGTATTGTGGGAAGCATAATGCCGCTAAAGATGCTCATGTCACTGTTGCTGATATTATGTCCCGGGGGATTATAAGCAGAAATAATCACAATAGGTTCATTAGTGCGAGAGTGAGCTATGATGGCAGTAGTTTCAATATTACTAGAACTTGGGAGATTAAAATAGGTGGCCTGCAAGTGTCTTCTGATGAGAATCAGGGTGCCACCACCCCTGTTATTTTCTCTGTCTTTTCTAAAGGTTCTATAACCTTGGATGTTAAATTTATCACTAGCTCGAAGATGTGTCTCGTTAATTAAGAAAATATCAATGTCATGGCAATTAAGAAAGTTTATGATCTCAGTGTTCTTGCCGCGAACTCCGTTGGCATTAAAGAAGGCGAAATTTAAACTGCTGGAGGCAGTAAGTTGGATGCTTGCATAGTTATTTACAATATTAACACTTCATAATTTAAATTTGCTAAAAGTTCAAAGGCTTCCCACCCTATTTGGAGCTTTTCCATTATTGACTTGGCTTTAAAAAAGCGTTCAAATAGCGCTTTGCCTTGAGTAAATAGATTTTTGATCCATTTCAGGAAATCCGGGGCGGAGCCTGATTGTTCTCTTTCGTGAGCTTCATTCTGGTTGGCTGATGAGGGACTGGCTTCATTAACATTTTCGTTAGTGTTTCTCCTACTCGGTAATGGGGGGAAGTTCTCCAAGTTGTTTTCTGGAGGATTTGTTCTTGTCTTTCTCCAGGCATCTCTTTGATTTTCTTTTTCAGCAATCTTACGTTTAATATTGTCAGGGTGCATTTCGCAACCCCTGTAGGAACTGACGTGGGGTCCCCCACAAAGGCAACACTTTCCTGGAAGATTTCTATCTTTTGTACAGCTAGTGGTGATATGGTTTAATCCGCACTTTAAGCATCTTGGTTTATGTTTGCAGTGGGAGCGACTATGTCCATATCTCTGACAGTTATGGCACTGTTTGTGTCCTGGGGTTGGTTGGAAAGAGGTAATTTTGACCGCAAGGTCCAAGATATGTGTTACCTGAAATATCTTTTTTCCTTCAACAGTCCGTGGGACTTCTACAAGGAAAGTTGGCAATTTGACAATTTCATTGTCAATCTTTTTGGTTATCTGTCTAACCGTTTTAACTGGAATTTTTAATTGTTGGAGTTCTTCTAATATTTCTTCAGGTTTAGTATGCACTGAAAGCTTCTTTATTACTACTCTAATGGGCTTATCCCTTGGTAGGGGAAAAGTGTGATAAGGTATTTCCTTATTATCCAAAAATTTTGTGACTGAGCGATAGTCATCGTCAGATTTGACTTTTATGTGGATGTCTCCACCTTTTTGTACGCACTCCATAGCTGTGGTAAATTTTTTAATTTCATCTCTAAGGGGCTTCCAAGACGTAACATCAGATATTATAATCGGCGGTACACGGTTTGCAGTTTTTCTAGGGGCTATGAATTCGCCTTCTTCTGATTGATCCATATCCTGAGGGTTTGTGTTGGGCGTTTGATTGACTTCCATGCTGTCATCTATTCTAAGGGTAGAAGAATATCTATTTTTTATTGTTGTAACAGATGAGTTACTGCTATCACTTAAAGTACGCTTGTGCGTTTTTTTGGGTTTAATCCAAGTTTCGCCCTGCTTAAGAGAGTTATTGTCTTGCACATTGACATTATTCATGTTTTGTTGGGTAAGAATCTGACCAATTCCTACAATCTCATCAATTTCCTTTGAAGATTTAACATTTTTTAATTGCCGTTTACTGAAGAGTTTGGCTACCATAACCTGAAATAATTTTTCAACTTCTGGATCAACTATTTTTTGACCACTATCAATAAGATTTTTTTGGATTTGCAAATAGGTAGATATAGCATCTAATTCCTCTTCTGAACCACTTTCAATAAGATTTTCGATAACATTTTTATCATTAATTAAGTTTAAAGTCTGAATGTACTCTAAATTTGGATTCATTGCAACAGTCCAAAAAAGCCTACCGTCCCCAACGGAAAGGCAAGTCCATCACGAAAACACTTGCAAAAATCAAAAACCAAACTCGAAAATTACTTACGCGCACGATCGATCAGGAACACTTCACCAAGCGACCAGCTCACAGTAACAGAATGAATGGGGCCTTACATTTATTGAAACGTTAGAAAAATGCTATTTCTAACACTTTTGCTAACGAATAGAAGTGCTACGAATCTACAGATTATGTATTTAGATTCTCAGCCATTACATTAAAGAATATTTGTATTTTACCACTCATTTTTACAAGCGCTGTTGCGTACTTTAAATTTCTAACATCTGTGAAGTATCTTATGTAGTATAAGAAATTTAAGTATGAAGCGAAAGCGATTACAGTATCAAGTCCGGCCAATAAGTAAAATAATTTACCAGCCAATTAATAATTAAAAAAAAGTTTCCTTTCCTTCTAGGAATGGAGAATATAATACTCAACGAAAAGAAGAACGTGTCAGGACATAGAAAGAGTCTTTTTAACCCAGAAAATGTGTGCAGAAAGTGATATTTTTCTCCCGACTAATTCCTGTATGTCACTTCCAAACACCTGCTGGCTATGACGTCGTATCGTAGCTAATAACAAAACACTGATTGACGTTATGCTAACGTTGGCCAGGATCGCACTTTCGGCACTTGACAGCTTATTGGGAAAGGGGGGTCAGGACTCGCGTTACGCATTTTACGCAATTTCTGTAGGTCCTGAATTCTGCTTCTCGGTACCTTTCTAAATTCCCAAAATTCTGGCGCCCCTAAATTATGCTGCACGGTGTGTCCTCTAAATTCTAAAAATTTTGCTACCACTAATTTTTGCTGCTCTGTGCTTCTCTAAATTTCAAAAATTTCCGCCCTTAATTTTCTTCGGTGCGGTCGCACCGGTTCTGATGCCCAACCTGTTAGGGATTAGCAGTCTTACACTTAACTTAAACAGTAAGCGAAGCCCCCATGTTGCCATATCTTCATGTCATTTTACTACACTGGAATTGATTATGTAAAATCCGGAAATTTCCGAAATCTGAAATCGTTAATGTCTTGGTGATCTCGATGGATCTCGGATTTTGTACTGTATTAAAAAAAAATCTCATTGGTTTGAATTTGAATTTTCGTTAGATCTGATATCTGAAGTAGTTTTATCTACACCATTTTAAAAAAATTTCCGCAAGAACATATGAAGCACAAAACATTTGCTAGCCTCTTTAAACTTATTGCTTAACTAGATGCAAAATTTTAAGGTGACGTACCTAATTAATAATTGTGATACTGAGTAATAAATTCATAGATAGCATTTCAATTTCATATATTAAAAGGGATTTCCTTAATATTAGAATAGTAAACGAGATTAGCCCACGAGATATAGTCCACAAGATTAATATGTATGGAAAATTAGAATTAATAAGCTGCAAATACACATCTTAATGTTAAAAGCCATGCATATTTCTGCAAAAGTAATACATATAAAATCATTTTATATTACCTATTCCATTCTATAACACACACACACACACACACACACACACACACACAAAAAAAAAAAAAAAAAAAAAAAAAAGACTTCATTTTTATTTATAAGAGTAAGATACTGTTTCTGAAAAACAATATTTTGCTTTATTTCACTGGGCACAAAATGACTGACACATACCGTAATAATTTCTTTCCAGTTCGCTGTCTGGAAAAAAATAATAAACTTTAATAATATGAGCAATTATGGAAAAATTAGATGTGATAGATTTACTATGAGAAACCGTAATTTTATCTCTACTTGATATACCATTACAATTTCTGCAAAACTAAACAAATGAGAGATAAAAAAGAGATTCTGCAATATTTATATAATTCAGGAATGCCCATGTAACCACAGGTAATACATTTCGGGATCTAACGTAATTATGTAAAAATTGGGGATTATATCGAATGACATTTTAATTAATGCGATGTCCGGATAACATACGTAAATGTCCTGAGAGTTTAAATGGCAAATTACTGACAATAAAGCATTAACAATATTAAATAAAGTAATTATAAAATGTACTGTATTTACGCTGTAAATAAACTATGTATGTATACATAGTTTATTTACAGCGTGTTTTCTGCTCTTTCGTGTATATAAAAGTTATGTATTTTGACACATAAACCTAAGCCTACAAGAGGATGTAGAGATGAAAAATAAGTATACCTTTTTGCATAGTATAGCGTACAATTTAAAGAGATGACTGAATAAAAATTATGCTTTTCATCAAATCTATGCCTGAGCAATAATACATTGATTCAAATTAAACATGTGCATTAATGTTCCTAGAACGCATTGCGTGGATAACCGTGACTTTTGTGAAGAGTCACGAAGGCTATCCAGAGATTTTGCGAAGGTTACAGGGAGAAACTAGTGGGTGCGCCTTTGCGCCCAAGGAGACTTTTCTTGTTTGGCGCTTGTTTTCCAAACTTTAAATTAATTGTTTCTGTAATTTTCAAAACATATTTTTCGTAAACTGTAGATACATAGGCACAAGACGATATACATTTCTTGTTATTTCAAAGATTGCAGTATTCTAAACAGATAATAAAATTTAAATAAATAATTTTATTTTCAGTTAATTATTTGAAATTTTGAATATTTGAAATTTTAATTTTAAAAAGTTAAATTTCATATATTTAGGTTTAGGTTTTCTGGAAGAAGAAAAAATGCATATGGATTTAGATGAAATGATGAAACTGATAATGAAAATAATACAAGTGAGATGATCTAATTAAATATAGGTAGTGAACATAAATAATATAGATGAAATAAGACATAGTTAAAAAATCACATTCTAATCACTTTCTTCTTTATCTGGGCTTTTCCTGACTGGATTCAAAGGCCGATTTTCAGAGTCAGACCTAAGAACAAATTTTGTTAATTTTCATGCTGAAAACTATATTCTGCAGTGCATTTATATTACAGATATGATACTGTAATGCTTCTACATACTGCAAAAGATTCCCACACTATACTTATTTAAAATGACTTATAGGGTTTTGAGCACTTAAAGGTAAATCATAGCTTGAATTTCGTTGACTCAGATACAGGATGTCGTACAGAGTAATAAGGAGGTATGTAAAGAGCTCTTTGCGAACACATAATCGGCAAACCGATTTTAAATTTTATTTGGCATTTTATATTTTCACAAAATCTTGCAAGAAGCAAAATATTGATGGATTCAACAAATTTCTAGAAATTGAAAGGGACATAAACTGGGAATTTCTTTGTAAACTTTTCAAGATTTTGTAAGATTAAAACATGTGCTCCAAATTTGTATTTTCATATTACTGTTAAAAATATGTATGTAAAATAAGTGTTTCCTATTTTATTGTTTAAAATATGCATTCTAAATTTGAACTTCAACGCTTAAAACGTGCATTCTAGCTTGCACTTTCAATTTTTATGCCCAAAACGTGTTTCTTAATACTTCTCCGCGGCTTGGCGATATTTTTTGTCACCAAAAAAAAAAAAAAAAAAAATCGTCAGTGGAGTCTTATACGTAAGCTGTTTCTAAATAAGATACTCCGCATAGCCCCAAAACATCCTGAGGATGTTGCTTGCGAGATAAGCGCACATCCTCAGGACATACCGGAATATCCTCCAAACAGTCTAAACACATCCTCCCGACTTCTTAATGTCACATCCCAATATATCCTCAGTACATCCTAACTAAATCCCACTGACAGCGTACGGGTTGTTATCAGAACCTGAAGTCCTATTTACTGCATCCTCAGGATATCCCGGAATGACTCATAAACACATCCTATTATATCCTCAGAACATCCTATCTAGGTCCATTGACAGCGTACGGAATGTTATTAGGATTTAAATTCCTACTTACTAGATTCTCCGGACACCCCGTAATATCCCAGTTTCCTCCTAAAGTGATCATCCCGAGTGCTTAATGTCACATCCTCGTATAGCCTTAGGACATCCTATCTAGCTCCCATTGACAGCATAGCGGATGTTATCAGAATTTGAAATGCCAATTACTATATCCCGGAATATCCCTTTAATCTCCTAAACACGTACTTCGAACTGCTTAATGACACATCCCAGTACATATATCCCTAGTAATCTTCCTTACATTCCACTGAAGGTGTTGTGATGACCTAAAATCTACTTATTTTCCACCTACATATTTCTACTAGCATATTAAATCTACTTATTTCCTCCTCCTATGGTTACTATGGAAAAATAAAAAATGTTGAGAAGATTAATATAACTTACTTTTTAATCTGAATTTCACTTTATTTAATAATTTGTAAATATATCCAAAAGTGAGCAAGGTACTTAAAAGGAATTATCAGAGCAAAATATCACAACAGAAAATTTTGCTTTTATTTTTAAAATATTAAAAATCTTTCGATTCTTTTTAAGCATTCAATAGCCCAAAGTTGAATTCTTCAAAACATATTCATAATCAACTCATTTTAAAAATCAGCTTCTAATTTCAGTTAATTTGCATTTAAAATTTAATAATAAAATTAACCATTTAATAATCTTTACAGATTTAATGAATTATCTTTCTTTAAAATATGTAAACGATTTTTAGTCTTTGGTGGCTGTTGAGAAACAGTTAAAAGGAAATTGTATTTTTAAAACTAAATCAATTCCTAACACAGAATAAAAAATAAAAATATGAATAAAAATCGGTTTTACTTCCAAACTTTAATCATGATAAACAGAGAAATTTGATGAAAAGTCAAACTACAAATTTTACTCTGTTATTAAACTTTATTGTTAATCTCAGATTAGTTGCAAATTTACATAGATTAGAACTAATGTATACAAATATATTACTAATCTTAGATTTACATCATTAAAGTTTGTATATGTCATACAGATTCACCATTTGGAGGAAATGCAAATTACATTTGCTTCACAACTGTCCACAACTCTAACTCAAAGATCAATTAATGATTCATAAATCTCATGCCTTTCTCAATAGCTTCTCAGACAGATTCGCTAAAGAACTTGGGAACGTTAAAGACCTAGAAAATTTTACCAGACAACTGCTACCTTTCTAATAAATGAATGAAATAAACTAATAAAGCAGCACAGTGCCTTCAGAGAAAGTTTTCCAAAAAATCACACAAATAACATTGTCTTGAAGAAAGAGCCCAGAGGTAGATAAGGATTTATGGACTTGTGTTTTCTCACCACCATGTTTTTCTCACCACCATCACCTAGAAAAAACTAATAAGGCTCTATAGAATCTTGGAGACCAGTCAGCCCTTCATCAGACAGTTGTAACCTATCAGTCTATGATGGTTAGTAATTGTCTAGTGGAGCAAAGCAGAGTCCTAAGAATTTCCACAAACCATCACCATCTCAAAAACATAACCCAGTTCAGTTTAGTAAGATGCAGTGATGCAAAGGAACGGTTTGATGTTTTTAACACAGGTATGATTAGAATATCCAGTACTTAGTCATTAATAATTGTCACAAGTAGGTATGCTTCAATATACTGCAATCCTAGGCCAGATCTTCAGTTAAAAATTTACAATCCTAGGAGCTCTAGTATGCAATACGATAAATTTGTAGTATAGTTGCAATCTAATTGTGTTGAACTTCAAAAGCAATTTGTTCTGTATTATTGTTCTAGGGCAATCTGTACCAAACCATTAGTGACATATATGTGGTGACTGTCTGCTTATTGATCATTACCCTTGATAGTATACATGCAGACATATGATAGTATTAGCTTTCAAAATTCTAAAGTAGTTTCTACTTCATAATGACCAATGACCAATTTAATTTGCAAGAATTCAGTGAAACAGAACGACAGATTTAATTTGCACCAGCAATGCTTCCTTAATTAAAATCACTAAAAACTGTCTCATATCAGAGCAGCAGCAATAATGATTACTAGTACAGAACATTGTAACAAAGAAATTACATCTATACTTTTTTTTATATATATCTGAAGAGTTACTTCAGACAATATGGACAAATTTAGTTCTGACTCAGAATGCAATAGGCTGTGCCAACAAAAACAGCTAGAGGATGATCAGTTCATTAACATGGAGTGTAAACAAATCTTTCGCTAATCTTCTGCAGATATAATGATCAGATTGCTTATAAAGTTTTGACATTAAACTTTTTATTTGTAGTATAAAAGAAATCTTTTTGGAATTATTTTGTGTAGACACATTTTTACAAATAGAGGAACAACCATATATTTATGAATCGAAATTTTGCGTAAGTCTTCATTCAAAGGATCCGTTATTAAAATGAAAAAGTAATAATTTCATAACCTAATCAATTATATTTTGTGAAAAAGGTCTTTAAAATTCATTATTCATTCATACCAACTTCAATAAAAACTATTATTGCTTTGTCATACTCTTTTTCATGCAGGGATAACAGTTTCTTTAGCTATAAAATAAGGTTAGAGTAAGGATATTAAGATGCTAAAAATTTGGATATAACTGAAAGACACATAGGCAAGACAACTGCATAATTTACAATTTGAAACAAATTGCATTTATATTTCAGCTTACATACAAATTCATATACGCACATAAATGTTTCAATACAATTATTCGCTTTAAACACATTTATAAACTTTATTTAACTATACTTTATAAATACTTTACATACAGAAAATTTATTCTCAGTTTAAATCGATTCACATAAGTTAATTTTATAATGTAAAATTTAAACTTACGCATATATCACTTCTTCATCTGAATCATTAATCATTGATAAGGTTGGATTATCTTTTACACGCGTTTCTGAAAGAAAAATTGGATTATAAAGTTGGTATACATGTTATGTAAAGTACAAAAAAATAAATAAATAAATAAAGCATAGTATTTCATAAATTGGAACAGTATTGAAGGCGTATACTTTACATAGAATTTTTAATAATAATACATTACCTCTCTATGAATTGCTTAAATGATGGTACCCAAATACTTTTGATTGAGACCCTTATTTAACTTACAATTAGCGTAAAGCAGTTATGAATAAAATTAATTTACACAGTTAATGTATAAATCAAACAGTGCTCAGAAAATATGTGGCAAAATTATAAAGGGTGGCAGAAGGCACCAAAATAAGTTTATGTTGTAGACTACATGTACTGCAATGCAGGGCTGTGGAGTCGGTAGAAAAAATGATTGACTCCGACTTCTGGAATTTTAATGACTCCGACTCCTTGATATATATATATATATATATGTGTGTGTGTGTGTAAACATATACGCATGGGTTACAGCCTATATTTTTAATATAAAAGAAGTAATAGATGCTATAGAAAAAAAAAAAAAAAAAAAAGAAGATGGCATAACAAATTATTTATGTTAATTAGCATTTATTATGAAATAGAAAAAATGGCATTGGTTATTTTTAAGAAACAGCTTCGGAAAGATCTTCTTTGTTGAAGGTCTATAGATCCGATTTGATAAACTTCAGAGCTGAGAAGAGTCTTTCCACACTAACTTGAGTAGGAGGAAGAGCTATTACTGCTAGGGCTACTTCTTTTAATTTTTCAGGATAGATTTTTATAAGTGTGTGTGTGTGTGTGTATGTGATTATGGCAAAGCCTCTAGGGCTATATGCCTAAAGGGAGGGATGCCTTCATGGAGGACTTTCTAAGGGTAACTGGCTCGTATACAATAAGTTCTAAAAGAGGTGTCTTGCGAGCGCAATCATATTTCTTTATTTATTCAAAGGTCGTGGAGAAATCTTGTTTGTATTTTTTCATTTTTATATCTAAAGGCTCTTGGTTCTTTATTTTCATTCCCATACAATCAAAGAATTCACTGGAATTCGCAGATCCTTCATTTGCTGGTTTTCACACCAGCAAAAACACTGCCCTAATAAAAATTATTGTGCTTTTTGCAGCGCAAAGCATCCCACCAGAGAGTGTAAAGCAGAATTCCCATCCTGCATTAACTGTGAATTAAACAACAGTATAAACAAGACCCGCTTCGAAATCGACCACCCAGTATACTCCCAAGCCTGCCCCAGTCACCAGAAAGAGTTAATCAAAATTAAAGCAAGGACAAAATACAAGTAATCTTGAAGCACCCCCAAGCCATCAAAAACCATACAATAGTATGGAAGTTCCATAAACAACAAGAACCCATCAGAATTGCCCAAACCTCCAAAGAGCGCAAGCAGCGAATTCTAAATTAGAATTTTTCCTTTCTGAAAATAAAAAAGACATTTTTCTGATCCAAGAGCCGTATTACGTAAAAGGGAGAGTAGTAGCACTGCCAACTAGCTGGAATATCTTTCAGCACCAAGACAGAAGATCAAACCTCTGTAAGAGCAGCAATAATCTGCCAAAACAAAAACTTCTCTCCAGCAATAATTTACTCATTGAGGAACATTGTAACAATAGCCCTCAATTTAGAAAATGAACAAATACTATTTACATCTTTCTATTCCTCTCCATCTGAAGAAATAACAGATAACTTGAACATACTCACAAACATCCTACAAAGATTTCCAAAATCTCCTCATGTTATTGGGGGGGGGGGGGAGATTTCAATGCTCATAATCCCATATGGGGTTACCCACGCATGAATGCAAGAGGTGAAGAGGTAGAAGCTTTAATTAACAGTGAGAACCTCACAGTGATTAATAATAATCCATCTGAACCAACATTCCAAACTATCAATGGATCTGGATGGCCTGATTTAACGCTCACAAACCAACCGATAGCTCAGTATAGCCAGAATTGGACATTCCACGTCGAAGAGGATATCTCAGACCATATACTGATTTCCTACGAAATCTTCTCTCAATTCAACACGAAGACTACCAAAAAGATTTCAAATTACCCAATCGAGAGCCTGAAAATTCATCAAGCCCATTACACATGCTATCCAAAAAATCGACAATGAAATAAATTGCTCAGAAAACAAAGCGCATCTAGATAACACCGTTACAAAATTGCAAAACATAATTCAAAAGCACTCTGAAAGCTCGTTCAAGATGAAATGCCCAAGCGACATCAAACGCGTCAATTGGTGGGCTAGCACACTCAGGTGTGAGAGAAACAAGACTAGAGCGTTAAAAAGGAAGATGAAAAAGGCGAGAACTGAGGAAGAAAGGAAGACAGCTCACGGGTTGTATGCAAAACAAAGAGCTATGTACAAAAGAGAGATTCTTGATACAAAAATTAAGTGCTGGAGGAAGTATTTAACCAACAACAAAAACTTGTACGGACCAGTGTATAAATTATGTACCAACAAAGTCTTTAATCCGTGTCAAATTGTTATCCCCAACCCCATCAACGAAAACAACTCACAGGAAGATGCAACAACCCAATGCATCAAGAAAATAATGGATGCTGTATTCCTTCATGATTCCCCAGATGAAGACTCACCACATCAGAGTATCAGAAGAAACAATAGCCACCCCCCAGAAAAAAATGACGATATTCCATTCTCTTCCTTTGAAATTTCAAAAATAGTTAAGATCCTGCCAAACAAAAAAGCACTTGGGCCAGACGGGATTGATAACCAACTCATCAAGATCCTGCACAAGAACTTTCCCTATCTATTTTTCAACCTAATGAATAAATGTCTAGAAACAGGCCTCTTTCCAACAAGTTTCAAAATCGGCCAGATAGTTCTTTTTAATAAAAATGGCCAGAATGCATCAAACCCAGGTTCTTACCGCCCAATAAACCTCCTTCCCGCAATAGGGAAAGTACTTGAGAAAGTCCTAGCGAACGGCCTCAGGCATCACATAAGCAAGTCCAACGCAGCAAGCCCGTACCAGTTCGGGATCTCCCCAAATATGAGCACTATACGTGCAATCAATGATGTTCTAGGGCAGGTGAAAGGAAATAAAGTAAAGAATGGTGGCCCGAGGTTTTAAGCATGTACATGAACTGTTCAAAAAACATTTACAAACTTTTTCAAGATTACTTCACCAACAGACGCAGCGTCATTATAAGTAAAACCGTACAATTGAGAAAGTACAAGTCAGAGGCTGCCCGCAGGGGTCCTGCTTAAGTGCAGATTTTTGGAAGCTGACGTTTGACAAAGTCATAAAGCACAGATGGCTCCAACCCTCAAAATGCACCACTTTTGCGGACGATGTAGCTTTTGTTGTGAGTGATAGCTCCAGAGATGAGTTACAAAGAAATGTAAACAGCACATTAGAAATTTTTAACCCTCTTTGCAAACAACAAAAATTAATAATTTCTCAAGAAAAATTACGGGCCTTAATTATCCACAAACCCTCACAAAAGATAACAAGACTTCCAAGATTCGAAATAGAAGGAATTAAAATAAAAATTGTTAATTCCCTAAAATACCTGGGTTTCATCATTGATAAAAAAAACTTAACTTTATAGACCATCTAGACTACATTAAAAGCAAGACCTCTAAAATAGCAACCATTCTAAAGCGAATGAACGGAATAAGGATGGAGGAATGAGCAGACCAGACCAATCCAACACCTCATCTACCATACAGAAATCGATAAGTAACAACCGTACAATAGTATGGAACCGTACAATAGTATGGAACCGTACAATAGTATGGTAGTTCTGCCCATATGGCTGTTCCGTGGAAAAGCCATATGGGCAGAACCAATGACAAAAAGAAAGCAAAAAAAAACTTCATACAATCCAGCGACCCTTCCTTCTTAACTATACAGGAAGCCACAGAACAACATCAAATGCGGCATTCTTCCAAATCGCTAACAGCACTCCACTTTTTATACGCGCTGAACAAGAATTCCATAAGACAACAGCACTACAACAGTACTACGAAAGAAGGGCCATTACAAATCATTAGAACTTTTAGCAGAGAATTACGAGACACCGGCACACCCATATGAACACCACCCAGGAAAGAAAAATAATATCACATTAAGCATGAAAAAAGAAGTAAGCGAAAAGAAATTCCCCCAACTCTTTACAGACAGTTCCGGCCTAGAAGAAGATAAAGGCAGCGTGATCAAAATCTACCTAGATCCCAGTTCGACAACAGAAGTTCCACCTAGATCAACAAAATAGTGTATTCCAAGCGGAATCAGTAACGCTCCTTGAAGCAATAAAATACAGCATCACAAACTGCCTAAAAGCAGCATATATCTTTACAGACAGTCTTTCAGCGATGCATGCCATCGCAAACCCGCGCCACCGATCAAAAATTAATCCAGGATTACAGAAAGAACTTCAGCATCACAAAATCAACACTTCTTTGTCACTTGACTGAAGGCACATGCAGGGACAAAAGGCAACGAGGAGGCTGACATCCTAGCCAAAGAAGCAGCTAGGGGTCAAAACGCACAAAATTTATCAGTACCATGGCCTGGCTCGCACCTTAAAAAAATCATAACCATCAAATCTAAAGCTGAATGGCAGAACTGGTGGGACAACGCCAAACAAGGAAGAAGGACTTATCAGTTGTTCCCAAAAAGTAGGAACATCTCCCAGTTTAATTACTAGAAAAATAACGTGGTTTTTTTATCAGGGCATGGCCTTTTCCCACGTACTTCTATGCAAGGAAACTAGCAATTTCAGCTCAATGTGCATGTGGAGAAAGAGGCAGTCCCGACCATTATATATATTCGAATGCCCCTTACAGCTGAACATCATCTAAAAGTCCCGAATTCAGAGAGTGAAGTGACTCCCTTTATTAGATACGCTATCAAGAACATCCATCTCCGAAAAAAAAATCATAATTCTAATGAGCTTCCTGTGTACAAGAGGCACTGAGCTACGCAGCACAACCTAGAATAATATAACAAAGCTATTACTTAAAACATAGTATGCAAGCAGACCTGGCGCTGCCCTCCATAGCATGTACGTGCGAAAGGCACCAACTGTAAAAACACCAATGTATATTTAAGGGAAAAAGAAAGGCCCGGTCTGGTAAAATACAAAGTATTGCAACCAACGCCTGGCAGGATCCTCTGTAAGTCCTGTGGGGTGTAATTTATCTGGATATCTAGTGTGGCTGGACAATACCCACATTGCCAATGGTTAAACAATAGGTGTCCACCACATTTCTCCATATCCATATCCATATCCATATTTTCATTCGCTTTGCCTTAGCCTTTTCTATATTATCCAAAAATATTTCTTAAAATCTAATTCATCACTAGAAAAGGATGATAGTGACTCAATTGCAGTGTCTGCAGTTTGACTGTCCTGATTCGATTTCTCTAATTGTTATGATAATAATTTCATTCTTAATGAAAGTTAATAGATGACTTTCTTTGCCTTTTGAATTTGTTCGTCATCCAAGAAAATTCGGTGTTTCGGATGTCCATATATTGAACTCAGCAAGATCTCATTATTTAGCAAACAAGTTTCTCTTTTCTTTATTGAAGAAATGATTTCTTCTGTAATATACCCTCCATTTCAGAAAGGGCAAACATCCCATTCTTCCATTCTCGCCTCCCGTCAATTCTTCAGATTGCAGCTTTTTTGTGACTATTTACGGTGTAGAAAGAAGAGTTTCCAATTCTGGAAGATCATTCCACAGTCTCTCTGTTGGTGAAACATTAGGATTATCTACTTCTTCTAAAAAAGTTCTTAATTCTAAAAACTCTTTTTATCATCAAATATGTACTTCCTTATCGCGTTGCTTGATCAATAACTGCTCATTTTCCTGCTCGCTTCCTAAGAATGAAATCAATTTTAGTTCTTGCTGCTTATCTAAATTTACCAGTGAGATTTGTAATTAAATGAATCACTTTAATTGTTAACGGCGAATATCACATCCATTCAAGCTATTTATTATATTTATTTATTAATATGTCGATAAAATAGAAAACAACTGTTTACTAATGTATACAATTTGTAAATAAAAATAATAACTCAGTTTGTCATTAATTTTTTTTCAATTCATTTCATTTTAACTTCATTTCAAATTCAAACTATGCAACAAAAACTGGAGTCGGAGTCGACCTGTTTTTAGCGACTCCAGCTCCGGCTCCTTTTACCCCAAATTCGGCACGACTCCGATTTCGACTCCACAGCCCTGCTGCAATGACACGATAAAGTTCAGTCGATAGTGAAAGTTATGGTGGTCGATGACATCTGGGTGCAAAGGCGTCATAAATACAGCATGGATCGCTTTGCAAGAGCAGAGCTTCCATATATCTATCTGATGTGTGCTGTAGCGAAAGGTTGGTGTGTGTGATTATGGCAAAGCCTCGAGGGCTATCTGCCTAAGGGGAGGGATGCCTTCGTGGAGGACTTTCTAAGGGAAACTGGCTCGTATACACGTTACACATGGGGAAAACCACGAAAACGCCCATGCAGCCAGCCCGTTCGCGGGATTCGAACCTCAGACCGAACTACCAGTGTTCAGCGACATTACCGCTCGGCCGCTGGTGGGCTGACTGTAGCGAAAGGAACTAGTCGCTTAGAGGATGTACAGGGAAAATGATACATATGGTTTAAGCGTGCGCACCGCCACGCTCACAATAGTTAACACTTATAATAGTTAGCTGCCACACTTACAATAGTTTAAAAAAAATCAAACTTTTTGAAAAATCGTCAAAATTCGATATATTAATCTCAACCTTCAAAATTTGGAAAATTTTCTGTTGTATTGGTATTGCAAATATATATTATGAATAAAATATTTCGGGAAAACTGGGTCGGTAAAAGATGTTCAATTTTTTTTTTAATATTTCATCCCAACAAAAGAACAATTAAAAATTTTAAATCGTTTAAATATACCTTTATCTGCATATCTAACCTAATCAAGTATACACCATTTGATAACGTTACCTATAGAGAAAAGTTGGTCTCCTCATATCTCCTGAAAGAGACATTTAATATAGACTCCCAAATCTCATAATGCAACAACAATTTGCTATTAAATATACTGTTCTTCAATGCAGCAATGCATCATAAAAAGAACAATAACGTAAGCTGATAGAATAATATAGGTAAACATATTTTGCAGAAAGACGGCTTAAATTATATACTGATTTATTAAAAATTAGCAAAGACACTTTTGAACAATTTTTATTGTTAGCGTTTTGCAAAGAAATTAATCACAAAAAATTAAATTCAATTAAATTCAATATACAAGAACAAGAGATAAATTGGTTAGTTAACTGGTTACAGTAAAGACAGGAGGAATGACTTCATGGATAAATTTCTATAGAAACTAATATATATTCACATTTACACAAGGAGAAAAACCAACTAGTTTGCCGAGAACCAAACTGAAAATGAACTGCCAGTATTCAGTAATGTTAGCAGTTATTCTGTTATGTTAAGAGTTATTTACTGGGTAAATGCTGGATCCTACCAGTAAGATCCGATATTTTTCATTAAATTATCATAATGTAGTTTAATTTTCCTTACGTTACTGCTCATTATGTAAAATTTTTCATTTCTCTTTACATATATAAATGGTTTAAATAAAAAGTTATGAATGTTCCTTAAAGCTGGATTAACAAATATTAAAGCATTTAAAAACAAATTTCATCAACTGCGCTCTTTTTTTTTAATGTCCTAATACTGTATAATCTCAAGTGAAGTTAAAGCATACAAATTTATCACCATTAGACAACACATTTTATTAAATTTAATATATGAACTTACATGAATATTGATATGAAAAGAATAATACTTATGTGAAAATGTAAGTATTATTCTTTCATATAAGTATTATATATAAATACATATATATATGCAATATATATATAATTAATTAAGTTTAAAATTAGATTCCCCCTTCAGTTAATTCCCCAAAATTTCATTTATAGCCTTTTGTTTCTATGAACTTTAATTGAGTTCAACATTAATGCATATTTATACAATTAAGTTACAAGCAATCATAGTCATCATCCTCTATTAAAAAGGTTGCATCGTATATATAAGTCTCACACACATGAGAAATGTAATTTTGTGGTAAAACACATATAATGCACTTCATGGACATAGCGGCATTTTGATGCTGAAACCGGGGTCCACCCTGACACAGACAGTATGCAGATATCAAATTCAAAACATTTAACAGCGAAAAGACGCTGTATAACAAAGAAGCAATGATGCAATTGAAAAAGGCATCCAAAGATGAGAGGATCAAGGAAGATTAATTTACGAAGTTCGCTAGGTTAGGCTACAAAGAGAATATTTGAGTTTGGAGTTTTATATCATATTCTTAGAATGAGAATTGAAACTCAATATTTTTAATTAGTTCTGAATATTTTTTTCCTCACATTTCATGATACAAAGAAAAAAACTCCTTCCAAATTCAGTTTCTTCCAATGCTTTTTTTTTTTTTTTTTTGGTTACTGTAATAACTAAACAAGGACACCTAACATTAAATCAAATACACGAATAATAATTTTGATTTTCAGTTAAAAAAAATATTCTCCATTATATATGAAAATAGGAACTAATTATGTTAGGATTAATACAGGATAAAAATCTTAATATTTCAAACGTACCTCCTCCTATTTAAGAACGAAAATTTATTAAATTAAAAATGCAAAGCAATATATTAAATTTTAACTGTTGTTATAAGTTGAATAAAAATAGCTTGAATTTTCGGTTTTGATTTAATTAAAAAAATAAAAAATACTTAAAGTACTCACGAAATACTTTGTAGAGATATTAGTATTTTTGAAAGCAGGAGAGATGAAAAATGAGCAACGCCCTCAGCAGGACTCGAAACACTGGCATCTCGAATACGCGCCGAGCGTGCTGGCCACTACACTAAGAAGGCATGCAAAGAAGGCGGGAGAAATTCCTTATCTACTCCCCCTTTTAAAGAGCGACTGGGGATTAAGGGACCTATTCGCCAAATCCTGGTGGTGGAGAATCGTCATCCACCACCCTTTTAGTTCGGGCGCCACTGTAGTGTCTTTAGAATTTTTTTGGAAGCAGGAGATGTGAAAAATGAGAAATAACTTCGCCAGGACTCGAACCGAGGACCACTCGAATTCGCGCCGAGCGTGCTGACCATTACACTACGAACGCATGCTAAGAAGGCGGGAGAAATACCTTATAACTTAAACTATAAGATCAATGTTATGAATAATAAAAGATAAAGCTTTACATGGAAAAGTGTTAAAATATTTAATGTAAATATCAAATTTTCTTTTTATTTGATAAATAATAATTTTTTTACCAAAAAAGGCTCTCTTTGGTGGTGCATAGACATAGGCCATTGTAACTAGATAAAAATTCAAAAGACTGTAGAAAGACATAAATTCTGCAGAGCTTCCATAATTTGTTGATAATTCAGCAACAAAGTTATCTTGAAGAACCGATACACCAAACCTCAAGACTGTTATAGCGATGCTTATAGATAAAACAATTATCATTAATGCAGTCAGAAATTTCAGTCTCACATCTAAAAATAAATAAATAAATAAAGAGAAACATTAAAAAAACCCCACAAAATTGAAAACTTTCTTTACATACCCAAGTGAAATTATTTTTATGAAAATATAATAATACAATTTTGAAGACATGAATCTAAAAGCTGATTATATATAAAGAGCATTAAAATATACTCTATTCTAAAAAAAAAAAAAAAAAAAAAAAAAAAAAAAAAAAAAAAAAATCCCAAAACATAGTTGAAAATTATTCAACAACAATATATACTAAAATATTTCATCTTACTGATGTCATATTTTACAGAATAGCAAATGAACAGCATCAATTTCCAATTACAAGCTTTGTTAGAAGGTACAAAAAAAAAAAAAAAAAAAAATGCTTTGTCGTCAACTCGCCTTACAAAAAATTATTTTATGCTTTGCTTAAAATATTAAATTAAAATTTTACTATAAATAAACTAATTCAAGCATTCATAACTTAGATTACTGCATTTCTTTACGATCTGCATGCTAATAAAAGCTAGTGAGCTAATGCTACAAGATGAGTATTCTGAAATCTTGTTTATTAATAAATAAAATATTACATATTTCTTTTTTTAAGTTCACACAATTGTTTCTTATTTTTTTAACCTAAGTACAAAATTAAAGAATCCTAAATTTAAAAATAATTTTTATTGAAGCTTCTTTAGAAATTGAAAATGTAAAATGGTTTAGCATTAATAAGAAAAGAAAAAAAAAAAAAAAAAAAACTTTTCTTTTTACGATTAAACTAAATTCAATTGAAAGCTGGAATAGAGAGTACAATTTTAAATTACAAAATCGTGTCAGCTTATTTAAATTACTTTTTATCACCTTTTTAAAATTATTTTATACATTAGGTATTGAATAGGAATTTAATTGAAAAATAAAAATGAAATATCATGAATACATTCTAACAATTAAATAAATTATGTAAAATAAAATATTTAACAAAAATAAAATTTTAAATAAGCGACTGATTTTTGACTATATTGCTTTTATTTGTTCAGTTATTTTTACTTTGATGTATTTTAACTGAATTTAACAACAGGTTCTTACATTAAACTAACTTTTAGATACAGGTTTTCGAGTTCCTACATTGCCACTCCATACAGAAAAAAATAAAAAAATGTATGCTGTATATATGTTATCGGCAAAGTACGAAACGCCGGCATTCTATAGAATGCCTAAGCATTGTATACAATGCCGGACGTTTTTAGGCAAAGTATGAAATATGAGAATTGTTACCCTGCTGGCCATGAAAATTGTAACACCAGGAAGGAATAATCTGACGAACCTCAAAATCGCATGAAAGGAAGAAGAGGTTGAGGTATGCAAATGATCAGTATTTCAGCGCATTTAGACGACGCAGGAAGGAGAAACGGTGTTTGATACACTACACAAAAGAAAAGTTGTGAAGTGGATTTCTCGTTTGGAAAGCGCTTTGTAAGGTCAGAGTTTGTTCAGAATATCGTGTTATGTCTCGAATAATAAAAAGAAATGTTTACCACCAAGTGCCGAAATTCAATAGCGGCAGGATCGTTGCCTATCGAGACTGTTGATTATCAGTTGCCTATCGAGACTGTTATTATTTCGCCCATCTTACTGGTCGACATCCAACCACTGTCACACGAATATGGAACCAATATGTTGCTGAGGATCAAATTGAACAGCATGCAGGATCGCAACGCCCTCGCAAGACTAACGCCCGAGAGGAGGGATATATTGTGAGGCTAGACCAGCAAAATCGTACAACCACATCACGGACCATTAGTCAGGAAATGGGCATGTTTGCAACACGCCCAGTATCCCCTCGTGGTGCGTTGACGTTTGCAGCAGCATGGACTATCAGCACGGCGACCATTACTTCGGCTTGACAATGCAGCATAGAGAGAGACTCTGGTGCACCGAACGACAATGCTGGATACAGGAGTGGCACAATGTCGTCTTTTCAGACGAGTTCCGGTTCTTCTTGCAGTTCTTGCTTGCATTGAATGTCGGCATAGGGGCCCTACAGCTGGTGTGATGGTTTGGGCAGCCATTGGGTACACGACACGCACATCTCTAGTTCGAATCAACGGTTATTTGAACGCAGATCGGTATATTTCTGACATCTTATGTCCAGTGGTTGTGACCTATCTTCGAGGCCTGCCAAACGCCATTTTCCAACAAGATAATGCAAGAACACATGTTGCACGTCGTGTTTGCTTCCTCAATACACAGGGTATTCGATTGCTGCCCTGGCCTGCACGATCTCCAGATCTGTCACCCATTGAAAACATCTGGTCATGGTTTGTTGAGAAACTGGCCACCTCCTACCTTTTTTTGTATTTGCTTTCTTTCACGGTTTTGCAATTTTAATGGACAGTAGTGTACATACTTTCTCTAGGAATTGTAGATAATACCTAGAAATTTTATAGAATACAAATGCTATTTAGACAAAGTATGAAGAAAAGGTCCTGATAAGACTATCATATAAATAATGTGCATTCTTCAAAAATACAAATGTTATTTTGAAAAAAAAATAAGTGTGCCATTAAAAAAATTATTCAAAATACGTAAAGAAAAATGAAAATTTTACAAAACAAAATTTGTGCCTTTCTTATTCAGGGAAACAACATTTTCAAATAAAAGAAGAAATTAAAATTAAACTACTTGTTGCAACACAGTAGGCTTGAATGGCATTTTGATTTACATTTCATTGCATTTTTCACACAAAGACATTTCATATTTTGGCACTTTACATTTTGGCAGTTTACACATACATTCGATAAATCCTTTGTCGCTTCCACTGGACTGAGCAATTGCAGTGAGCTGATCGGAGTGGAATTTTATGGTCAGAAATATCTTGAATTCTAAACAAGTTCATAGGACATAAAATGAATTGTGATCTGGCATATGCTTGTTTTAAAATTCCTTCAGAAGTTTCAAGTCGGTACAAACCATCCTCAGTCACATTCATTACAACTGTCAATATACCGCGAGAATCTCCTCGCACATATCTTTATCATGTTGGTTCAATCCAGTATCGACTATAATCTCATCCATGTTTTTGAAACAGGCTTTTTTTCTTCCATAATATAATAAGTTTCACATTTTCCCATTGTTTAGATGCTTTCTATTACTTTTTCTAGCTGCACCTTTGTATTTATATACGAATGGAAGATGTGTTTTTCATACTTTGCCGGTTTCTCATTTGGCATATTATAGGAAAATAACTGGCATATTTAGATAAGATCACTCTAAAGCCCTAAAATTTACCGATATCATGATATCATTTTTCTCTAGAAACAGAAGCTTACTTACTTTAATTTAAACTAGTTTAATTTTACAAATTGATTGTAATTGGCAGATTGAAAAAATAATCAGTGAAAGAATTCTATCTTTCTCCTAAAAATATCACTGCCTAAAATAAAAAAAAGTTATCTATTCTAAAGATTTCCTGATATGAAATCTTATTTGATACATGATAAAAATATATAATTGAATTGTGGAATAATATTTTAAAAACATCTGAAGTAATTATCAATAATTAGAAGTTGAACCAACAGTATAAATATAAGCCGAATTTTATCTCCATTCCTTTTAAAAATATAATACCATAAAAAAGAGGGGGAAGCAAGGAATGGAGGAGTTAAGAAATTATTCCATAATGTGAAAAGAAACCTTTTCTCCACTGATAATTAAAATTAAAATAAACGTAAACAGGATAAATTTTATAAAACATATTGCTTGTATTTTGGAGTTCCGGGACCTCAGTATTTACTATGCTATGATCAACGCTATAGTAAAGGTTATAGAGTAAACAACTAGATTGCACAGATTAATAATTAAAGACTAAAATTATAAATTCCATGAGTTACTCTATCCCTTTGATATAAAAATAGTTCATTCCGCAACAAGAAACATATAACATTCTTAGATAGATTAGGAGGAATTTTTTCCCAAATGTGCCTTACAAATTCTTCATAAAGAAATTCTAGATAAAATATCATTTGTCTGAGAAATGATGTATATGTTAAATTTTAGAATATCTAAGTAGACTGTTATTATTAAAATACAATTTCCCATCAGAGGCTATATGTCTTTAAGTTATTTTTTAAATAGTTAAAAGTCATTCCATCATCATTCAATAACAATGAAGAAATTTTTACAGCAAATAACGACATTTTGTTAGCATTAGAGTTAAATATAATAATTCACTAATATTAATATATTAAGAAGGAGTTAGCTAAGATTTTCTCATGTCATGACAATGTTTTTGAGATAAAAAAAGGGCATAATAATACATCAATTTTAACAACACAAACTGATTTTATATTAATTATTTTTTTCAAAGACTTTATTGGGTAAAGTGCAACAATTATATTGCCATTTTATAAAAATGAATTTATCTAGATATAATGAGTTTCACATTAAAAAATTCATTATTTAATTAATACATCAAGATAAAACCATTTTTTTTTTTCCTTACAGAAATTGCAAAAAATTAGACTGTTACATAGGTAGGTGAGAACTGGCGAAGAGAGTGTAAATATGTGTCAAATTTAAATATATATACATTTTAGTTAAATAGAACCAAAGCAAAAAAAGCTCTTGTTCAGATGAAAGATGTGTAATAAGGAATGAAATTTTCATACAGATGGTTACAAAATAATATTGAAAAAAAAAAATCTGAACGCTTTCAGATTTTATATTATGCCCAAAGGTGCCCCCCTTTTTTTTTCCACGGGTGATTCAAAACAGGATTTGAAAAATGATACAGACATTCAAAGTCATTACACACAAAATACCATACCATTAAGAAATGTAAAGAAATCTCGCGCATAAAATATCCGTGCTCGAAGATGCACGTGATGTTAATGTTAATTTAATGCTTTGAAATCTTTGAGTTTGTTGATAAAATATTCGTTAAAGTTTAAAAAATTTAAAAGAGATAATGAAATAAATTTTAAATTCCAAATTTGGGCTTCCAGATTGCCATATTCGAGTGGAGGACTACGTTATTCAAAATTTGATGTCTCTAGGTACCGTTGTTTTTTCACAATGAGAGAAACATACATATATTCATGCAGATTCTTTATTATTTAATTTCTTTAAATATAATGCAGGGCTCGAACAGCTCTTTTGGACTAACACCCTTTGGGGTAATAAATGTCTTCCATAAAATAAAGTTAGTTCTACGCCGATGACTTCATAAAATTTTAGAAACCTGTTTGAAGCTTCATTTATTTTAATCGATTAAATTTTCTTCACAGCTAGCCAATAATTTTCTTTTATTTCTTACTTTATATTTAGAACGCTTTCCTTGTTAGAGTCCTTGTTAGTCTTCAAAAACTGTAACCAGTTTTCAATTAAGCAGGGACCTTTCTGTCATGCTTACAATTGCCATGTAATTTTCTAGGAGATCTGGGTCTGAAGTGTCAGCTTCTTAAGTAGCGAATAGCTAACGCATTTGTGCAAGCTTATCGATTATCAGTTCTATGTTGTGTGAGTCCAACAGCTATCATAATATCATCATCCAAATTCTATGTCTCCCAAAATTGATAACTTCTCCTGCTACATGAGTAATTCAATCATTTTCTGATGTTTTTTTCATCTCGCTTTGAAAAAGAGCGAACAAATTTTCTTCCAGACACCATTCAATGTTTTTCAGAAATCTCATTCTAACATTCTCTAACAGAGGAGGTTAAAGTAAGGGAACGCGTAACTTGCTGTTCACACATATAGGGGTATTGTAATTTAGGCATTGCTGTAATTAAATTTTCAAATTATTCATCATTAAAATTTCTGGAATAGCAATGAAACATAAACAATATGTTCACATATGTATTGGCTTCAAGACTGTATTATGGGAAAGAAAAAAACGTACCAAGACAGAATCCAATCTATCAAACACTGAATTAAGTGTAAATTGCAGTTTCCTGTGTTTTTAAAACTATATCTTGATGTCTGTTGACAATTTATTAAGAACTTTAGTAATACAACAGTTATAAAGAAATTGAATTTTCAAGCACTTGAATTCCAGCACTGTAGAATATCTAAGCAGCTTTGCAGAAAAATACTGTAAGTATATTTAGAAGAAGGTTTTGATTGCAAATGGCGCTCAAAGACTGCTTTTAATCGATACTTCAAAAGCACAAGCTTCCTCAAATTATTTATAAAAAAGGTAAAAATTGTGAAATTAATTTAATGCAGTAATACTCCCATAAGAAGAGCACCATAATGAACTTAAAGAAAATTATACATACATTTTAAAATATACAATTTTTTTCATATATTTCAGGTATTAAACTTAAATACATGAACTACATATATTACCAAAATAGGGCATGGAACGAAGCTCTGTATAAGCTCTTATTATCAGATAAAATAAATATACTAAGTATATTGATCCAACCGTAAAGAAAAAGCCTTTAAATCCCTGAAATATAATAACAAATAATTTTAATTTATTTCTGAAACTTCAAAAATGTGAAGTATTAAAATTTCAAAATATTAAGTAATAAAAAAAGATTAATAATAATTTAATAACAAACCATGAAGTGGCCAGTATCCACTTTGTAGTTATAAGTAGGATCCCGTAATTCATTGAACTTCTGCCAGGATGCTAATGTAAATGCTGAAAGCCACAGCATTCCTATTATAATACATTTAGGCAAATAAAATTTTGAGAAACTGCGTTCATTCTGAAAAAGAAAAAAAAAAAAAAGAAAGAAAGAAGTAATATCAGAGTTATGTATCTTAGCACAATCTCCATTAAGATAAATTATGTATGTTTAAGAAAGAAAAGGTACCTGGCGTATGCCATGATATATACAGAGCCAAAATAGAAGCAAAGCACACAAAAAAGTCGCTTGAAATACTGCATCTAACATTCCAGGTACCCAGCTGTTAACCAGAAAAGACAAAGGAAAACATGGATCTAAAAAGATTTTGTTAGTGTTATTTAAAATATTTAAAATTTCATACAACAAAATTATTTTTACATTTTAAAAATATTTTAAAAATCAACTTTTATATTAACTGAACACAGTTCTCCCATTTTTAATTTATTAAAAGCATACTAATCCATGTTTGTAAGCATGCCAAATTATCATATGATATGTTTTAAATTATAATTATTTGGAAAATTAAGCAAATTGCAAAAAAGGCCTCATAATTACTTATAAAAGCTATTGAACATATTCATTTTGCACGATAATTTAAACTCAAATAATTTTAAGTTATTAGACAGAAAAGATACAGTGCACAAATCTTTTAAGGTTCATTATAAAAGACTAAACACTTCAACATGTAGGATTTTATATTGCTGCGTTTATATGATGTACACATATATCTGTAAATGTTTTAATTCATTTCACTGCATTTGTTATATTATTAATTTTTAGTTTTGCATTTCGAGCCACATTTATTTTTTATACGTGTGCTTGTTTCTAATATGGAATTGTTGACTTTATTGATCTGGAAATGGCAATGTTCAGAGTATAAAAACGGTTTGAGTGAAACAATGAGATACGCTCTTCACGCGAGAGATCAGGGTCTGCATAAATACGGCTGAGAGAGCCCAGAGAACTTTTAGGGTCAACATCAAGGAAGACCTTGATCAAGAAGTTGTCAAGTTAACTGAAAATATTAATATCGCAATTCGTACTTCCACTAAAAATGTTAAACTGACAGGCCTCCTAAAAGCTTTCCAAGAAGAACTCAAGGAGCTTATACAGCAAAAGAATAGAGCCAAGAAAAACTAGAAAACCACCTGGATCAAATACAGAATAAAGTTAGAATAGAACTGAAAACCTTCAAACGACAGAAATGAGAATAATTCTTAAAATAGCTGATGATTAAAGATAATTGATTATATGACCTTAATAGAAAATATACTAAACTATAGTTTATACGCAAATCCCTTCACTCCCCGGCCCAGCGGGAATAGTTTACTCTGATGTTAACAAAGTCTTGCTGATGAGCTAAAGAACACTTTCCAGACAAACACCAGGACGTATGACGATAATACAATCATTTAAACAATAGAGCAATTAGCAATTAATGCAACAGTTTTGACCACGGAATACCCTTCCGATTGCCACTCCACCATAAACTGTCAACATCATCAAGAAATTAAAAAACTGAAAAGTCGCCGGACCTGATGGATTCAAAAAATGGCTTTCGTAGAATATTCCTTCTAATACCATCAGCAATATTGCGAAAATCATAAATTCGTGCTTACAGCTCAATTATTCTCCTCAAAGCTGGGAAAAAGCCACAATGGTCATGTTTACCAAGCCCAATGAAAACACTACACTTCCGCAGATATAGGCCTATCTGCTTACTCAGGGCCCTTTCAAAAATAGCCCAAGAGTCATCCTGCATCTGCTGCTTCACGACTGCAATATATCCAAACACTTTTCTCCTGAACAATTTGACTCCGAGCAAGTAACAGTACTAAACGCCTCTTCAGAGTTATAAACACAGCAACAGAAGGGTTCGACAGTAAATTACTCGTTAAATATCGCTAAAGCTTTTGATAGGGTGTGGCACAACGGCTTGCTCTATAAGCTCATTCAACTCAAATTATCTGATTATATTATCAAGATCATTAGTTCCTTCCTCAAGAATCGCAAATTTTGTGTCCGAATAAACAAAAATCAGTACTGCATCAGTGCTAGAATTCCCCAAATCAGTGCACTGGGCCCTATTCTTTTCAACATCTACATTCAGGACATCGTGCATGATCCCATCGCTGTTGCCGACTATACCGCCATACTCACGGAAGGTTCTGCACATCAAAACAGTACGGCAACAACTTCAACATTTTCTGGACCTCGTTGAACAGTGGTACACAGAATGGCGTATCTTGGTAAACATGCGAAAATCTTCTGCCATCATCTTCTAAAACGGAAATTCAGAATTTAAATATAAACTCAGATTATTGGATTTATTAATTCCCTGGAAAAGCAAGACTACCTACCTTGAAGTCAGCCTAGATTACAAACTTACCTTCAGCCATGATTAAGTTACAGAAAAATACAATTATACTCTCTACAATATGCGAACTTTCTAAGTGAACTCTACATAAGCAATAAAATCATCTTGTACAAGTCAGTACTTACGAAAAGCTACTGCTTTTCTTCATGCCTCCTCTATCTGAAGCCATGAGGCAAAAATGAACATGCAAGAAATGCAAGTCGTTTATAACAAGATTTTTTAACAAATTACAAATGGCCCCTGATACATGAAGTACTGTCATACAAAAGAGCTTGAAAATCGAATACATAAATGAGTAACAATCAAACTTTACCTCTGTGTGAGATCATCAAAACTCATTCATTGCTATTCAAAAGAACAAGCCCTATCTCATACTCACACACTTTGTTTCAGTAATTTTCCGTGTTTCTCTCACTTTTAGTTGGGAATCACTTCCCCACTCAGTTATACATTCCTATTTATTTCCGTTTCCTTTCAGTTACCATAAATTTTTATTCTTCCTTTTACATCCTCCCAGAACTCTGCCACCAGCTCTTCAGCATATTCGCAAACGCGTCCTAGTCTCTAATCTTACAGATGAGGATGTGTAAGCTTAGAATTCGCAAACGCATCCTTGGCTCTAATTTTAGAGATGAGAATGTGTAACCTTAGAGAATCTTAGAGATGATGACGTCTAAAATAAACTTTCATAATAATTGGAATAAAAGAAGCGTGCACATCTCTCCCTCCATGAATCCCATGAACCAGTCCAGTTCAGGACGAAGAGTTCGTTGTTTGACTTTTTATTTTGTCGATAGCGATTGAATTTTCAGTTTGATCATATATTAAACATGGAAATTCTATCAAAATTGTTTTTCGCTACTATATTTAAAGTTCTAAGGATTGACGTGGCTAGATTTTTGGAACCTTTTTTATTCGGGTGTGTGTGTATTATATGTAAAAACTTTAAGCGCTGACGGTTTAATTGTCAGTCAAGGAGCTCAACTTTTGCCATTTGCTCGAAGTTCTCCCGGCCGGGAGCGAACTTGAGAGAAGCCTAATTTCTCTTTCAGCCTTTCCTTGCATTCAAGAATACTTAGAGCTCATATATTCTAATTCCACACTCACAATAACACAAAAAAGGACGATCAAACTGTTCCATATAACTAAATTTATCCTGATCCATTGATGACCTCAATGTCAGAATTTCTACGATATCTCATTGTAATGAATCCAAAGCTCTCCTTCACAACATTAATATTGGGATTATAAGGTTTATACTATTTTTACTAATAGTTACTTTAATTTTTTAGCTTTTTCTTTTACTTCTCGTTTCTCTCGCGTTTCTTCGCCAAGTTGTCAGGATGATCGCCAGGATGATCAAGAGAGCGTATTTAAACTAAAGTAGCGACAAGATTAGTCAGATCGTATTTTCGCTACTGAATGCGCACGTTGTTATTTCTATGTTGCCGCCGAAGTTTAATATGACGACAGTGTAGGTTTCTGAACCAACCTGCTAGATTAATTTGTGTATTATTGAACTACTAGCTTATCTTTAGTTTAGTTTATCATTATTTTTAGTTTTATCGCAACAAGTGGATTTGTAAGCCCAAAGACTGTGCTGTCTGTAAATAACTGAATTCAACAAATAGTCTTTTACACCCTTCAGATAGTCTACTGACGTGACAACGTGATATGAGTGGCACGCAAATGGTTGATCACCTCGTGTACAGACATCATTCGTGAAGTCTTCTACGTGCGGTTGACGTTGACACCATTCTTCTTGTGGCTGCAGCAAGGACCGATCTCAGTTGAGTCGGAGATGCGGTTCTATGCCTTCGTGAGCAAATATCAGTCATCGGCGCTCGTCGTAGCTGTTGGCCATCCTTGGCTGAACTTTCTGAATGCCGAATCTGTGGTTATAAATTGTTGCCAAAGTTTATGAACGACAGAAGGACTCAAATTTAGCCATCTGGCTACTTCTGTCTGATTTTACCCACCCACTAGTCTTTTAGTAGCTCTCCGTTGCAGTTCTTCGAGCATATCATACCAGGAGGCCATTGTTACGAATTGGCTACCCCTAGATTTCTCATCTTAATATCGCAGCGAAATTTACAGGCTTTCTCTCAAACATGCAATTTTATGCTCCTCGCAGATGACGCATTCTGATTGCAGCGCCACTAATTTGCATACTCCAGTTTTACTCTACAACTTTTATTTAACACCATATTCAAATTTTATATGGATAGGCTTATTTATGGATGAGTTGCCGCTATTTTTGTGATTTTTCCCTAATTTTTGGAAACCAATGTATTTAAACCTGCAAACTTAAATTTAATTTTATCTTTCCCATTTTGAACATTGCCTTTGCTAGATTACCATATACTTTAAAATAAATCTCATCTTTTGATTTGCTCTACCAGCTCAACAGCCTGAACTTAGTTACATTTTTGCATTTCCACTGATCATCCCGGAAACATACTATGAATATCGTAAGGAGCAAAGTGAGTTTATCTCCCGATACTCCTTTTAACATATGGTTCAGTTCAGTCGAGGACAAATTGTAGTTCTTATTGTTCCTATTTTAGCTGTTATTCATTTGCGAGATCTAGCTAAATAGTGTGCCGATATTACTTGAGCATTAAGGATAAATTCTTATATTTGCGTTTAGCTTCAGCTGTTAATTATTGTGGTGCATGTAATTGATTTTTATAATAAACTACGAATTTCTTCCTGCGTATATGGAGTGAACCTTCAGAAAGACATAAATGAACCGATAGCCTGTAAGAAAACTAATCATTATTAATTATCTTATTATTTTATTTGTAATTTTACTTACGTCTGCTTATGTTGTAAATTAATTCACGTCTCTTCGGTTCGAGAAAGAGCCTTTGACAGCTATTGCTCACCGTTACTCTGTTAATTTTCTCTGATTGAATTACTTAAATCAGATTTACCTTGCTAGCCATAACTGCTTCATGAAAGCTCGAAGTCTCAGCAATCGAGTTTAACACTGTAATTAATATTTAAGGTTTATTTAAACATTTGTTCGTAATTTCCCATAGGCTACAGTGACATGATTTTTTTGTTACTGTTATAAAATTATGGAACAGTAAGGTTGACGAGTAAATAAAAGTGTTTATTTTAAACTGCCTTCTGAGTTTATACTGTTACGTTCTTTTTCTTCTTCTTGAAGCTAAGTACGGCTTGTGCGGGGTTCGTGTGGATTTGGAGTGAATAAGGACGACACTTGATGAAGTATCGAAACACACTTTATTTAGCCAATATTAATCAGGATAGCTCCAAAATCACGTTTTACAGTTGTCGAAGAAGCACTATAAACACGCTGGAACAATCAGCGACACAGCCTTCAGGTTATCAGGCTGTTATGGTGAAGATAACTTTACTGCAAAGTACCAGAGTACAGCTCCCGACTCTGCTCGGTCGTTCTCGGAACTCCACGTACTCTCGAGACTCTCCACGCTACAACTCGCGATGAACTCGACGACACACAGAGCACAGCTCCCGACTCTTCGGTTCAGTCGTTCCCGGAGCTCTCAACACTCTCTCTCGACGATGCACTAATCGCAATACACTAAGAGACTTCTTCGGTGCACTCGACGACCCACTCGGCACTTGTTTCCCGGCTGTCAACTCGGTCGACTCCGCACAGACTGACTATCTCGCACTCTAGACGAGGCACTAACTGACTGCGGACCAGCAGGGTTTATATAGCTTTCGGCTTGTGTTCGAGAACATTCTGGGCTAAACCGCTAAGAACTCGTTCGAGAAGGTTCTCCATCCGTTCATGGCATATCGCCAATTATGTCGCCAAATAAACGATTTCTCGCCAAATGTGGCAACCCTGCCTTCCCTTGCCATGTTATGACAACCCTAAACCTGCTTTGCGGCGAAGCGATCTTACAGTGCCTGAACATTTCGTAACAATATTATTCTACTTAGAAGTTAAGACAAAACGATAAGTCGTCTGATTATCTTTACAATTTTAGAAGTTAACATTTAGAGTGGTTGTACAGCCGTATAAATATATTCGAATATTTGTTTTTCCGTAATACGAAATATCAGCATGGTCTCTAATAAACTATAAACTGTACTTAAAACTACATACCATTATATAGTAGCAGTAGAGGTAAAAGCAGAAATATCCACTTTTGTTCTATAGACCAGTCATAAAAGTAGAAAAATCTCAAAGAGAAGGCAAACCAGCACTAAAAGTATATATCATTATTATTTGTTATTATCTAAAATTTTCTTTTAAGAAAATAGCATATCATTAGTTTCTAACTTAATTTTCTATTGAAAATAAAAATTAGTTAACTTAGCAAAAGGAATGACTTACTGTTGTTCCGAATATTAGGAAAATAAAAATGCATCGAAACCATATTTCAATCTTTGTAAACGAAGGATTATAAGTTTTGAACTAGAAAGGAAATTAACACATGTTTTTATGAATTCTGGAATAAAATTTACAGTTAAAAACATACATAAAAATTTATAATTAGGATTTTACTTGAATAGAAATCTTTTAAAAAATGTAAAAATTCAAAATAACTTTAATTTTCAAGGAACCAATAATGAATTTAATAGCCCTTAAATTTCAATAATTACTACTACTACTAATAATAATAACTTATTCATATGTTTTAGAAAACCTGAAGAATAAAAATTGAATTTGTGATTAAACAGTAAATTAAAATGAAATTAAGAACTAAAAAAATGTTCCGAAATTAATTATCACTTTTAATGGTAAAAGGCAGCACAGGAGTTTTAAAAATATTATTCTAAAAGGAAATAATATTATATAAACTCACTTACATAAAATATGACATCTTTTATATGATAATTTTCTTCAACTCTCTCAAGACCATAAAAATTTATAGTTAGAATATAACGCGTGTAATCAATGAATCCTAAATGTAGAATTGTAAACTCTTCACAAATCTATCAAAAACAAAAATAGAAGCATGATAACAGCAAACAGCAATTATAATTAAAAGGTATTTTTCTAAATGTTATACAGCTTAGGAGGCTTAAAAACTGTACAAAACACTTACACTTCCAAAACAATGGAGTTCTCGAGTTCGATTATGGCTATGTTGATCTCCTAGCACAACAATAATTTTATTTTCATCTGACACACCCTGAATTGTAACAGCTACATGAAAGGGTTTGTTGAATTTCTCATCTAAATAACATAAGATTTACTATAATAAAACGATAATAAAACGATAAACAATATTTTTTATTTAGTCATTAAAATATTAAAGAAAGAAAACATAGATATTGAAAAAATTAAAAAAATAAAATGATCTTTAAATTCAAATATGGATGCAATCATTCAGTACAAGAGAAATATTGATAATTTATTATTTACACATATAACATGGCTGATTATCAAGAAAGAGAAGCACCATTTACTCTTACATATATAAATAACCAGTGTTTAAAATTAGAGAAAACAGCAGTATCAATATGACGTAAATTTTGAAGGGGCGAAAAAACTCGAATTTCGAAAAGGCACAGGTCTCTTTTCTTCAGAACCAAAACATTTTTGGTCCTGGTAAAGAAGGGTGTCCATAAAAATATGTTGTCTATAAAAATGAACTATTGTGCGATGCAGTTGATTCTTATGAACAACAGCATTAGTCCACGTAGGGCTAATCTAAAGGGTGATTGACTTAAAGTGAAGATACTAACTGGATGGATTGGCCAGCTAAATCTCCAGATCTAAATTCTACACAGCATATTCGGGAAGCTCTTGGAAGGGCTACTGCAACTCTTCTTGCTCCTCCCAGAATCGTACAGGACCTGAAAACAGAGTTTCTGCAGACTGGGACCGAATGTTACATGGATTCATAAATGCCTCATTTCCAATATGAAATTATATTGTGAGAGCTCTATAACTATTTGAAAAGACCATATTCTGTGTAAGCTTTCTTTTCTTATTTCCCTGAACTGAAATGAACTATTATTGTCGAGAATGTCACACAGCGGTGCGACGTGTCCGGCTCTCGTAAAATAGTGTCCGATGGACGCATGACGTAATACCAGTCTGGACTGTGGATCCAGTCAAAAGGCCAGAAAAACCAAACTTTAAAGCGAAAAGGGCAAAGCAAGAGCAGAGCAGCGTAATCATAGTGTAACCAAAAATACGTCAGGAAAATAGAATGAAAAAAGCAAATACAGTGCATTGTTAGTGGAAAATATATACAAGTAAACTAAGCATCTTCAAACAAAAGTTGTGGCAATAGGAGTTTAAGAAGGGAAGTTATTGTCACGAGAGAGGTGAGCAGCATAGGAGCGAATGTCACTGTCTTCTGCTAAAATCTTATAGCTGAGAGTCTTAAAGGAATTCAGATAAGCACAAACCTTTGCCTTGTTGTAGAAGTTTCTATTAGCTTTACTTAAAAAGTCCTCAATTTTTTCATTTGTTAAGTCTTAAGTCTTTGTGCAGCCTTTCATTCGACAAGTAGAAGTGCGCATTTGTTATCACTCTAAGAAAACGAGTGTGAAATTTTTGCAGCTTGACTATATAACTGTTAGAGCTGTCGCCCAGGCGAGCGAAGCATAAGCAATAATTGGCCTTAGAACCACGATGTACAGAAGCCTTTTCTTATTTAAATCCAGTTTTGAATAATTTCCAATGAGGGGCATGAGAGAATTCATGACACCTATACGTTTGCTGCATATCTTGTTGATGTGGTCATTCCAGTTCATTTTATTGTTTAAAGTTATTCCCAAATACTTTGCTTTGTTGACTTGTGGAACTTCGACCCTGAAGAGGTAAAGTTCTCTGCGTACCGACAAATTCTTCTTTTTTCCTCGTATAATTAAGAGTTGTGACTTGTACGCGTTGATGGAGATGCGCCACAAGGTGCACCATTTTTCTATTGAAGTGATTATATCAGGCAATTTCTTTACTGCATGATTGGCATTAAGCATCCCAAAAATTGATTATTATCCAACTGTGGCTTGGGGAAGTCAGCGACAAAGAATAAATATAACATGGGGCCAAGGATTAACCCTTGGGGGACCCCAGCATTAATAATCCGGAGATCAGAGCGTTCCTTCCCGTAATGCACATAAAAATTTCTTCCTGTGATTAAAGACATGATGAGTTCAATGAGCTCTGTGTGAAATCCAATTTTAATAAGCCTGTAAATAAGCCCCCTCATGCCAGATGCGGTCGAACGCTTTCGCCACGTCCAGCATGAGTAGGGCAATATTATTTCTATTATGCAGCGCTGTACCAATAAGCTCAATGAGCCTTACTAGCTGCTTTGTCGTGGACAGACCTTTTCTAAACCCAAATTGTTCTGGGAAAAGCAAATTCATGTAGGGTTGTATTCTGTTTAGTATTATGCGTTCATAAATTTTGGCCAAACCAGGTAACAAGCTGATAGACCGGTAACCGTCAGCCTTAGTGGTGTCTTTGCAGGGCTTGGGAATAAGAATTATTTTCCCCGACTTCCATTTTTTAGAAAACAAGACTGTGTGATGCAGGCATTCAACACTCCCGTATATTTACTTATGAAGTAATAAGAGAAATTTTAGGGCTATGTTGCTAATTTCATCATGATCCAAATTTTGAGCTTCTTAATAATCTGATTTATTTCGTTAGGAGTGGTAAAATCAGCCATGTTTCTCACTGTAGGAGCAATGAGCCAATCTTTTACTACGTAGCAAACTTCTCCAAAGCTTGTATCTGTAGGGTGCGTATTTGGTTTAAATTAATTTTCAAGATGGTCCGCTACAATCATAGACTTATCCTTGTCTGTGAGCGCCGCCTGTTTATTTGTATAAATCGGGCGGTTACAAGCGTAGCTACGCTTAAGTCCTTTGGTGAACGCCCAGAAAGAGCCGCTCTGAGTATCAAGATTGAGAATTTTCTCCTCCCATTTGTACTTGCGGAAATTGTGAATACCGTTATTAATTTTCTTGCTTAGTTTGATAAGCGTTTTCTTTAAGCTGGGATCCCAAGTGAGGTGCCAAAGCTTTCTTAGTCGATTTCTTTCTTTAATCTGATCCCTAATTTTAGCAGGAAGTCTATCAGTGTGCTGCTCTTTAGGAACGGAACGAGAAGCTTCCTGAATAGCATATGAATGCGGGAGGTAATGTCACTTCGTGTTTTAAGCGTATTGATATTTGGGGGGTGTTTACAAAGGATCTGATGTTCTTATATCCTGTTCTTGGTAACCCCCAAGTTCTTGTATCTTGGTAACCCCAAGTGTGACTAAAACTGGTACGTGATCTGATGTGAGCTCTTGCTTAACTTCGAGACCCATAGGAATACTAGTGAAGAACCGAAACAGTGACGATTTCATATCCATTATTGCGATCTTCGCTTATCAAGCAGGATTGCAGTGAGTTTCTTACATAAATTGCTACTCCTCCCCCTCTGTGACTTAACCTATCACATCTGTAGTGTCGATAATTAGCGATGTTAATACTCCTGCACGTTGTTGCGTGAGTTTCGGTCGCAAGTGCGATATCTACATCATAATTAATTAGGAAGTTTTGGAGTTCCGTGACTTTATGGATAACGCTATAAGCGTTCCAAATCATGAGACAAATAGGAACTCTAGTTTGTTTGTGTTGACCCATTATTTGCCTTTTCAGTGTTTGAGGTAATAATTTCAGTGAATTTCCGATTTGAACTTTGTGTTAATTGTTGTAAGATTTGAATACCTGAGGTTTTTTAATTTCTACAAGTGCCACAAGATCGGCAAATACATTTTTCGCTTCATCAATAATTTGTGTATTCAAGCCTGTGTTTATAACTTGTGCGTATGACTTATTTTCGACCACGCGGCTGGTATGGACTTTAGGTTTGACTTTTCTTTGTTCTTTTTGGGGAATTTCTCCCATCCCCTAAAGTTGGAGGTGTTGGAAGAATCGCGATTAGCACAGCGTGGTGGTATGTCTTTGTTGTTTTTACTGACTTAAATAGTGGAAGTGTCCTTCTCCGCATCTGACGCATCTAGGTTGGTGATGACACCCGCTTTGGGTGTGATAGAACCCCTGGCATCTGTAACAATGCAGGGGGCCTGCTCTACCTTTATAACGTTCAACTTTTATTCTTAGATCACATAAGTAACTTTCATTAAAAATTTAAGCAGATTTTTCAGTCTTAGGAAGTATGACTAAGAAGAGGGGCGTTTTAATCATTTCTCCGTTTCTCCTTCTAGTCATCTATTTCACACTTTCAATCTTGTAGTTTTTGGCTTCCAATTCCTCCTGATTTCCTTAGTAGTGGTGTCCGAGGGTAAACTGCGGAAAACTACTTTAAGATTCTTGTCCTCAGGCAGGGTGTATGAGTGGTGTTGTTCTATATCTGATTTTTTTAATAACTTGAATAATTTGTTTTTATATGTCTCAGCATTTGCGGCCACAATTTTGACTCCATTCGGGATCATTTGTCCGTGGATATTGCGGATTCCTTCAGTTTTCAACATTGACCTAATTTTGCCCCATATAAATATATTAGTCTTCGCTACAATGGGGAGAACTCTCTTTGAGCCTTCGGTAATGTTAGCGTTATAAGTGTTATTTTGTTTTTTGTTTGCATCATTAGAATTATGCTCTGGATTCGGCATATTTGTTTCAATTTCATTTGTATTCATTTTGTTAGCATCATGTTCCTTATCACTCTTTTTTGAGGGAGTCTGTTCATTCGTTTTCCCCTCATAATTAATTGAATTATTATCATTATTATGCTAAGTAGAAATTTTGGATTTCTGTTTAAGTGGCATTATACGGGCATTTCTTGTCCATACAGTTTGATCACCTTTCCTTTTAGGCATGTAATCTTCGTCTGAACTCTTGTCTTTATCTAATGGAATTTCCGTGGTATTTTTGTGGGTATCCGTGTTCTCAGTAATTTGTGGACGGATATTCGAAGGAGCTACAATTGGTTGCACCTCGTGTGGTAGAAACAGTGTTGTCGACAGTTGTGTCAGTGTATGACTCAATGGAAGTTAACATGAATTTTAGAAAATTATAGTCACGTGTTTCATATTCATTAAGTGAACCCTTTTGTATCTTAGCTTACTCTAGCTTAGCTACTAATTGCTGAAAAATAGCCTTTGCCCTTTCCATAATCAATGAAGCCTATCCAGATTCAAAACCTTTTAAGAGGAACCTGCACCTTGGAACTGGGCCCACTCAACGGTGTCCCGGCAGACA